TTTGTCTGTGCCTGATTCCATGTTAGTTGTTTGTTTTGTAAATCCTACTCCTACTGTAATAAAAAACGTTAACACTGCGTGTTAACAAATAGACGATCCAAATAAAAGAAAATCTAATACAGAATTATTTTTACTAATTAAATACGTTATTGCTTTCTAGAACAAGAGTAGTTACGACTCTTTGTTCTGAGATTCACGGCCTTGTGCGTTGTTGGTCGTCCGTCTTTGCTGACACTGACCCTCACAAAACCCCCAAGCAAGCGGAACAAAATTGGGGGACTAACACTTCTTATGAGTTCCCTTGCGAGACCAGGTAGTTGTTGGGCGAGTGAGTGGCGACGTGGTGATCGCCCTCGCTTTGGACGAGCGCTAGACCGAGCAACTAGAGGTGCTATCGTCGTTGGAGTCGAGGCCTCGGCGGCCCTGCGCCCTGGCTTGGGCCACCTTCAGGCCAGGCTTGGAGGAGTGTTGAGTGTATATTGTTTGTGGGGCTGGGAGCGCCTGGATGGGGCGTGGCCTAGCGCACAGTAGTGATTGTTGGCCGGCGGGGGGAAGTGCGGACGACTCCCTAACGCACCGCTCCCCCGCGCGCCAAACCTGCTGGTATAGACTGGATCGTCTAAAAACGCGTGTTTTTGTATTGTTGATTTAATGACAAAAAATAAAAAAATGTATTTTACAGTCCAGGAAATGATTGCAAGGTCCTAAGTTTATAGGCTGACCACCGGCAAAACACATAGACCAAATCCATTTCCATCTCGCCACTGGACAAAATAAAAAACATAGACCACGTCTGGGTAAACCACGCCATCACCCTTGTCTTCTTTTACTCACCCACTACTTGCATGTTGCCGTGGTCCGACACGGTCTGGAAGGCAGGTCCCTCGGCGGACACCTCACAGCGGTACCGCCCGCTGGACGTGAGGTCCACCTGAGAGAGCGACACCTGGCGGTCGTTGGACTTGATCATCTGGAAACAAAACAAAACACGGCCATCTTAACTTTCGCAAGGCAACTTTAAACATTAGATACCATACTCCAACACAAAGAAACAAAATACACGAGAGAAAAACAGAAGATACGTAGAGGTTTGTAAAAGCAATAATGGCTTTTGAATAGGGGCGTGCGGGCAAAAAGGAACATGAGTGCGAATTTATCATCATTCCGATAATGGCACATAAAAAAAGAATTACTGCCCAAATGAGTATGTTGCATCCTTCTCGCACACGTGGCGTAAATCCAGCGCAACGAGACAACTCTTCCCTGGCAACTGCCCCCCCCCCCACACACACACACACAGGTGAGCGCCTACCGGGCAACCCGCGGCCCATTTGACATAATGATGAGTGCACACGCACCGCAACGCGGAGCGACGCCCGCAAGGCCAAATTAGATGATTAACGGAATTGCTCTGGTTGGATTAAATATCGCGGTGGTGACTACGCGGGGGAAATGGGGACGCACAGAAGAGCTCGAGACTGGGATTGGGAGGGAGGAGAAAAAAGTGTTGAACGAATGCAAGCCGCTCCAAAGAAATGCGGAGCCTAAAAACTAAAGGTAAATCGTCGATAGTAGCCTCTAAAACGAAGAAAAATAATTAAAGGAGACTGGTTAGTCACATATGGCGCAGACGCTGTGCGTGTGGCACGTGTGTGAGAGTGACCATGCGTGGGTGTATGGTGTATACGAGGAAGAGCGGAGGCGGTAAGGCGTGACTCGACTCCACCGAAATATGATGTGGCGTGGCGTGGAGGCATGCACGCTCCTCTTCAGCTCTAACTACATTACGTAATGAGGGCTGGCCTGCGCTGTCCCCGCTACCCCCCCCCCCCCCCCCCCCCCCCCCCCCCTCCTCTCGCTCTTCCCCCCCCCCTCTCCTCCCCCCCCCCCCCCCCCCCCCCCCCTCTCTCCTCCCCTCTCCGTCCCCGCTACCCCCCCCCCCCCCCCCCCCCCCCCCCCCCCCCTCTCTCTCTCTCTCTCTCTCTCTCTCTCTCTCTTCCCCCTTCCCCCGCCCCGACGACGACGACCTCTGCGTAAGTAAGCCTCTCTCCCCCGCCTTTCTTTCAGAGCCGCGTCACCTCTTGGCGTGGTATCACCGTAATTACATACATTACTTTTTCGCACATACACACCATTCCTAAATGTAATAACTGACATTTTGTTCTTTCTTTCTGAGTGACAAACATTCAAAGCAAAATTTTCGCATCGTTACAGGACTGCCAAAACGTGGCCCACGAATGAAGATTTACCACTGCTCTGAAAATTCAACAGTGTACATTGTATGCTGAAAAATCAGCGAACATTAATGATTGGTGATATATCAGTGTACATGGCATGATTGCTGATGCAGGGTTGTCCACAGACCACTTCCTTTACTTTGCTTATACTGTACCGGATGCAGGCGTGCGGACGGGTTGCCTACTCGCACGGGGCCATAAGGCGCCCATGGTGAGCGACAGGAGGCAAGCCCGCCCGCACGCATGCATGCGGGACAGTATAAGCAAAATAAAGGAAGGGGTCTGTGGACCACCCTGTATATCAGCAATCATCAATGGTCACGTTTAGGTTTTTGCTGATATATCCTTTCAGAAGGATGTCATCGGAAAGTGGATAGCATTTCCAGATTCCTCGTGAAAAAAGCTTTCAAACGAGCTACTGTGTAATAGGGTTCACTACCGAAATGGTCCGCCTCTCGAAAATGCCGGTAATGTAAACCAAGCTATGGTAGCGGTGAATTTGAACCCTATCTCCTAGTAGCTCGTTTGAAAGCTTTTTTCACGAGGAATCTGGAAATGCTATCCACTTTCCGATGACATCCTTCTGAAAGGGTGTATCAGCAAAAAACCTAAACGTGATCATTGATGATTGCTGATATATCAGCAATCATGCCATGTACACTGATAAATCAGCAATCATTAATGATCGCTGATAGTAGTAAGGAATACCCCTGGTTGCGGGTTGTGGGTTGCGGGTGTGCCTACCTCCCAGGCGCACGCGTCAAATAACCGATGAGTCAGCATGCCCCGCCGCGAGTGGGGAGAGGGGAAGGGGGACTACACACAAAGTGTTTCTGGGAGTGTAGCGGTGTCATATTTCACCCTGCGCGTGAGCTCGCTCATAACAGTGTATTGACCGACACATGTATAAATACGCGCGTGCATTACGCTGCAGGATAGCACGCGTGAGCTGGTATGTGCGCTGATTGCCGCGCTTGCAGGCCAACTCTGTGCGGTTGCGGCTCCTGTCTCTTCGAATTATTCCGACTGCAACGAGACCGTGGAGGATGCAACAAGAATTCAATGCTCTGCCGAAGTAACGAATGTGATAGAAATATTCATTTTGCAAATGTCGGTTCTGTGCATGGCATCGTGCCGCAGGGAGGCTGATGTGAAACAGGACACTACTCTCACGGACTCCACTATAGCCCAGCCGCCGAGCTCGGCGTGTGTGGCCGATTGGGTAGATAGTGCAAACTAATCAAAGATCTTTCTGGATCAGGGAAGGTGGTCTCGGCCCTTATGCCCTGGAGGCTGTGAAGATGGACATCGTTAACGAGTATGAGTCGAGATTAAGTGCGTTTTTGGAGGAGGTAAAGGAGTGTAAGCAGAGAGAAGCGAGAGGCAAAACACATCGTCCCAATCCCCGGACAGATCGCCCGCCTGTCGGGGTGGAGAATAATCAGCCGGGACACCTCAAAAACGTGGCAGGTTGTACTGAACAAAAGACGGAGTGTCGATAAGGCAAAGGTGGAGCCCTACGGGTACAAGGCGTGGACCGCAGAGGACGACGATTTACTGAACGTTCTCGAGGAGTTGGCTCTAAGCTAGGGTACGGCTCCGTCCACCGCCGCCGCCGCCGCCGCCCGCCGCCGCCGCCCGCCGCCGCCGCCACCACCTGCCGCCGCCGCCAGCCGCCACCGGGAGCACGCCGGCGTGCCCGCGCACCCGGGACCGCGAGGAAGCCACCATGGGCATTAAGTCCGTAGGTACTATTTACAATTAAGTATTAATTAGAGACTCGTGAGACTTAACGATAAGACTGTTACAAGCATATTTAAAATTAACGCCATACTTCAGGTGGGAGCATCACAAACTCATGTGAATTTCCACATTGTCATATTTGGATTTGAAAAATTATACCTTGATGTAAGATTTAGAATATACTTTTCGTATAGTTCCAGAAATCCGATTTTTCCAGGACAGTCCAACCAAATTCCATGACATTCCAGGACTTTCCAGGACCATATATTTTTTCTAAGACTTTCCAAGACTTTCCAGATTTTCCAGGCTTGTGACATTGGACCGATTATTAGACCCGTTGGACCTGTTATTGGACCCATTGGACCGATTATTGGACCCGTTGGACCTGTTATTGGACCCATTGGACCGATTATTGGACCCGTTGGACCTGTTATTGGACCAATTGGACCGATTATTGGACCAGTTGGACCTGTTATTGCACCCGTTGGCCCTTTAATTGGACCCGTTGGCCCTTTAATTGGACCCGTTGGACCGATTATTGGACCCGTTGGACCTGTTATTGGACCAATTGGACCGATTACTGGACCCGTTGGACCTGTTGTTGGACCAATTGGACCGATTATTGGACCCGTTGGACCTGTTATTGGACCCGTTGGACCTTTTATTGGACCCGTTGGCCCTTTAATTGGACCCGTTGGACCTGTTATTGGATCCATTGGACCGATTATTGGACCCGTTGGACCTGTTCTTGGACCAATTGGACCGATTATTGGACCCGTTGGACCTGTTATTGGACCCGTTGGACCGTTTATTGGACCCATTGTTGGACCCGTTATTGGATCCATACCACTATATCCTCGGTATCCTCGTGCTTGTCATAAGAAATGCTTGGATCTCATTCCTTGAGAATATCAGACATTCGCTTGTCGTAGGGCTGGTGAGCTGGGATCACTGTCCCGCAGCGCGTGCAAACCCTCTTGCGGAATGGCAATAAAAGCTTCACTTTATATGTGTTCTAAGTGTAAGGCTCGTGCTTAGATACTTATTGCGCACCGCTCTTGGCCGGCTCTTTCCCACCTTCATAATCGTTTTGAGGATGCGGGTATCTAGCGCGAGTTAAGTCGCACGTGGTGACACTGCCGCTGTCAGGTGGAGATACAAAAGAACTAAGTTACGGGGCTTCGTTGTCCACTAGTGCTATGCCTGAGGATCATTAAAAGATGGAACACGTCGGCACACCACCGCGTGGTATCGCGTCACACGTCACAAACGCCCCCCTATGAAACCTTCTTTGAACTAATCCTTTGCTGAGCTCGTCAGGGTTCGGTTACAGTGGTATGTATAAGACGGGCGGTTTCTCTAAGAGAGTTTAGTTTGATGCCATTGCCTAAAGAGGTAGCATAAAAATGGAAGCGAATATAATTCAGCTAGAAAAAGGTGGCGAGAAACTTCAGTTGGGTGGACAGTCTTTTTACTCCCGTCTTCGAAAGAAAAACAAAACATACTGGAGATGTGCTGTAAAAGCATGCCCGGCTACAGCTGTCACGATAAATAAGGGTCAAGGACACGTTGAGGTGGTTAAAGAAGCCGCTCATTCACATACTGTACAATTGACCGAAGAGGACGACGATGAGGACTATGAACACGAGGATAGCACCAAAGGCGAGGATGAGGAGGATGATGCCCAGGATGAGGAGGAGGAGCATGGTAATGACGACATGAGTGTCGATGAGCAGGAGGACTTGGTTCTTTGGGCAGAGTGGAGAGAGGAGAGCAGTGACGATGAGGAAAGCGACGGAGAGGAGAGTGATGATGAGGACAGCGGTGATGAGGATTTGGATGAGGATGATCAATTCGGCTATGCTTATGAGGTCAAGATAGCTCATGAGAATGCTTATACGAAACAAATACGATTCCTGAGAGAACCTGAGCATAACATTAGGGCTGCCGCCCTTGAAAATGCGAATAAAGGGTTAATCTGCTTCCTAAA